ACACATAAGCAGAATGGGAGAAGGAAAAGGAAAAAAAAACAATAGTTATAATATCATATCTTGATCCATTTTCAAGTCTTCCTCACCTATTTTTGGTTCTGATTACAACGTGGTCCTTGGAAAGAAACTGTACTTCTTTACGCTGCCTTTAGAAAACATTCATTCAAATTAACAAAAAACTAGGGTTTCTTGGCATCTGTCATTGCCAATATTACTTGTGGAGCCCATTCTAAAATATTGGGACAAAATATTTGATTCTACCAAATCTCTTAGCCCTTTCTTAAGATTTCCATTCTTCCTTATATTAACTTCGGTAAGTTTATAACAATGAACAGCATTTACTTCCCCCAAAACATAAGTGGGTCTTGCCCATTATTTTAGTAAGAATCAGGTGTTATTAATTACTGGCTTTATGTCACAGGTTGATGACATAGTTATGGCTGGATGAACTAGATTAATACCTTTAGAAGGTTCATTTTTGTCAAGGGTAGGCCAATATTTATCTATAGGGGCCTGTATTCCCTTATGGATTATCTCTTGGGGGGCAGATACCACTGAGAGATGGAATTAATAGTTAATAAAGAGTATAAAGTCTTGTTTTATCTTAATATAACAATACAATTTATATAGTAAATTATATATTTAATTTATATTTGCATGACCGCCTCTCCCTAAGGACGTTTGCCCCTCCTACCAGATCGGATAGGGTGGGCATAATTCTAACCTCCTCCCTTAAATGTTGCCATCTGATGGGGCCTAGGAATGTGCCTTGTCTGTGTCAGCCCCTCCCCTATAGAATACCCTTCCCCGTGAAGTTTGGCAGGCCTCTGCCCACCTAGCTTTCCAAAAAGCACTTAAGACCTGCTTTTCCCCCAAGTGCTGGGATAGGATGAGATTGGTGAGAGGAACCTGTGGGCTGCATGGGAAAGTTCAGCTATGATGCCAGGTCTTTTCATTTTAATTTTAAATATGTTTGGATTTTACATTTTTATTGTAAATAGATGCTATTTTATTTTTTGGGTCATGAGCTGCTCGGAGTTTGGTACAAGATGGGTGGCTATATAAATGTTATAAATAAATAAAGTCACTAAATTTGAGATAGGACACTGAGAGAGATGTGTGTGAAAAAATTAGGAATGAGATTCAATTGTAACAAAGACTATGCTTTTCAGCCCCAAAGACAGTTCTTCATTTGATAAACATATAAATGTTTATATTGTTATTTAATAGCAGCATATGAACACAATGAGAATACAAACAGCATTTGGATGCATAAAACAAATACCACTGGGTTTCTTTTTTATATGGTCAAAACATACAAAAATTACTGGGTCACAGTTTCATCCAGATAAATAATGAACTCTGAGCAGGATTACTGCAATTTGGTATGCGATTGTCATTTGCAGGCGATGGAGTTGATCTAAACTGGAAATGTTTGTGCAACTCTGGTCCTGAGTTGCCATTCTGAACATGCACACATGAATGAAATGTCCAAAAGGCAAATCAAACAGCTACCTTTTAATATCACAGATGTATAATAGCTATTTTCAATTTCAATTCCAAGGAAATGTGTATATAGCAGTCACACAAAATCTAAGCTCAGAACCTTACTTTTTTTTTCTTTTTATTCCTTAGGCAGAGTAAGAAGAATGGAAAAATGAACCCAGCAGCCATTTTTCACCAAGATCAATGCTTACATTTCA